ATTTCATTCTTTTAGGCTTCTAAACTTCTAATTTCTTCAGTTGTGAATTATTACCCTATGGTTTCATATAAAACAATATATACTGGGTAAAATGTGAGCAAGAAGAACATTTCAAACCCACTATTTCTGAGAATGCCAAATGTTATAATTCCAGTTCTTTTATTGTGCTGAAATTTTTGTTGCCTTAGATATGTATTTAAATAAATGGGCTACTGGTCAAGGGCTTTGAGATCTTTTTGTTATGCTATGTTTTCTTGCTGTGTTGAATTTGTGCTGCCTTAGCAGTTATGAAAAGTTCATGTGATTTGCAAAGTCTAATTTATTAAGTCAGCAGTTTGGGCTCTGGTAGAATTTCTAAGTCAATTACAAAATTGAATTTGACCACATCACAATGACTATACTACACATTTTTTATATTATGTAGTGACATAATCTATAACATTTCAAAATGCTAGTCTTAAGGCTCCCTGTAGTCTTGCTATGACATGACCTGGTATGCAGAGGCTTGGGAGCTCATTTGTAGATCCCATTGAATGAAATTTACTGAAAGTATGAGAGGATCTTAGTTATAACGCCATTAAACCTACAATAGCTACCTCACACTATGTTTAAGTACAATCATGATACAGAAAAGATTGTAATGACATTCATTATATTTTTTCTCTTGTTTTTTAGATGTGGCCGTCTTGTATATCATCTTGGTTTGCCTTATTCCTTCCTAACTTTCCCATATGTAGAAGACGCCATTAAGATCACTTACTGTGAAAAGAAATGTGGAAACTGCTCTCTCACGGTATTTTTCTCAATTATTTTTCCTGAGAGAAAGAGGAAATCTTTTAAGAGCTATCTAAATAAGTTAGTGTTTCATAATAAATTAGTAATCAATGTTTTTGTTGGTATGCTAACAACAATAATTTTTATAATTACACACATCTCCTGTTATATAATATATACTTTAAAATATATTTTTGAGATCCATATTGCTGCCTTTATCTAGAAGGGTTAGACAATAAAAATCAGCATAGATCCCATATTTCAATTACCACCAAATAATGTTGCATAAGTGCGCAAAGAATTTAGTCAACACATAAAACAATATTATTATAGTTACCTGAACATGTTCACACAAGAACACAGTGATAGCAAAGCTTATCCATGGCATTAGATGAAATGGAGTTGGGGCCAGAAAACTACTTAATTAATCAAGGGTGCAAGACTATTAGACTTTCACTGAAGTCCTTATAATAGGATTCTGTAGTCTGAATTACTACATTTACTTCAAAATGAAATGTTTTCTACTTATTACTGATATTTCTAAGAAGCAGTATATTTAAATCTTTTTTTAACAAAAAAGATACTCAAATAATTGATTTTGATTTGTATTAACTATGCTTGTTTTCCTTCATATTGAAAAGGAAAATAATTTGAAACAATGTTTCCTTGATAAGGGCAGATTGTCAAAATTTGAACTCAGGTTTAAAAACAATTCTAAATTTTATCTGTGAGCTGTACCTTCTCCAGATTTTTTCCAGCTCTTAAGAAAGTCACCTCAAATTTTTACAAATCATTTCATTAATTTATTTAGTTGTTAAAGAGCATATCAGGTTAATTACATTATTTATGTAATTTTTCACATTTTAATCTTCATAATAATCTATGAGGGTTATTTTACTGCTTATAAAGATGTGAAAACTGAGCTAATGCAAGGAAAGTATTAACTCAATGTTTAACCTATACTAAGCACTCAATAAATGCTAACTATATTGATTCCTCATATTTTGGGACTATTTCTTTATTTTTCATTTGTGCAAATGCTCAATAGATATAAATATACCTAGTTATATTGAAGAAAGGCAGAAAAAATTCCCATAATATGCTTAAAATTTATGAACCACCTGTAAATAAGAATTACAGATGAGATACTGAGCTGATAGGTATCTGATATGCCAAATCAAATTAGAGTTTTTCTATTTCTTGTCTCCTAGATGCCATCAATTATATGACATATTATTTATGTACTATTAAGAAAAAAATATTACCAATTAAAATAGGATACAGTGCGAAAATACCAGTAGGATACATTCTAATTTTAGAGATACTAAAATGTAAGAAAATGTGTACCATAGAATCAACAAAATATTGTAGTTTTTGAAATTAGACTGCTACAGCTATTTGTGTTTAATAATTGAATACTTCAAACATTACACAGTATATTTTAAACATTTATCAAATTATTTATGATTATAATAATACTTTTGAATTTAGAAGTAATTCAGAAATAATAAAAAAATGAACCACTCAGTAGTTGTACGCTAAAATCCAATGGAATTTATAACCTTTTAAAATCTTTAAAACATCAAACCATATCACTTAGAAAGTCTTTGGATTCTAACTTGATTTTTTTTTATTTCGGCATATTATGGGGGTACAGATTTTAAGGTTTCAATAAATGCCCATTTCCCCCCCTCCCCCCACAAGTCTGAGTCTCCATCATGACCATCCCCCAGATGGTGCACATCTCACTCATTATCTAACTTGATTTTGTAATTTTATTTACAAGTCAACTTTAAGTTGAGGTTTAACATTATGTTGCTATATTTGTAGGCTTTGAGTCTGTGATTTATAGGTACCACAAAACAATAAAAGACTTTCAGTAAGTTAAAGAACTAGGATCACGTGGCATGGAATATTATGGTCAATGGGAAATGGGCGGTAATTTGCTACTTTCACCTGGCAGCACTATAGTTGTGACACATTAGCAAAACTTTGATTGAAATTCACAACATATCCTGGCATAGGTTGAAGTATGAAAAACCACCAAATTTGAGCAGAGTTTATCGGCATTTTTGAATTATCAGAGGGAAATTAGTATTAGTTTAGATGCATTGTTGACACAGGGAGGAAAGATTCCACAGAGGTCAACTGATTTTATAATTTGATCAACTTTACCACAACCTAAGTTGTTTTAGCCAGTTTACTTCATTTTGTTTCTGCAGGTATAAGTACAGTGGTTTGACTTTCTCTTTAAGCTTTTTCTTTTCTTTTCTTTTCTTTTTTTTTTTTTTTGAGACAAAGTCTCACTTTGTTGCTCAGGCTAGAGTGAGTGCCGTGGAGTCAATCTAGCTCACACCAACCTCAATCTCCTGGGCTCAAGCAATCCTACTGCCTCAGCCTCCTGAGTAGCTGGGACTACAGGCATGTACCACCATGCCCAGCTAATTTTTCTCTATATATTAGTTGGCCAATTAATTTCTTTGTATTTATAGTAGATACTGGGTCTCGCTCTTGCTCAGGCTGGTTTCATACTCCTAACCTTGAGCAATCCGCCCGCCTTGGCTTCCCAGAGTGCTAGGATTACAGGCATGAGCCACCGCGCCCGGCCTCTTTATGCCTTTAATAAAAAGTGTAGGTGTTGTGACCAATGTCAGACTCTTAACTCATTAATAGGATGCTAAAAAAAAAAATATAGCCAGCTCTATCCTAATTAAGTAGTTGAAATTTCATAAGTGTTAGCTACATGAATCCTTTTTCATGCATTCCTGCTAAATCTATAAATTTGTTGATAAGTGATTTGTAAATTTGTTCCAGACTCTCGAAAGTGAAGACTTCTGTAAAAATGTATCTTTGGCTACTGTGGAAAAAACAACTGAAGCTCCGAAGCCCCATCACCACCACAGGCACCATCACAAACATGGGCATCGGCATCTTGGGAGCAGTGAGCATTCAGAGAATCAGCAACCAGAGGCACCAGATGCTCCTACTCATGCCCCTCTAGACCTTCATCACCACCATAAGCACAAGGGTCAACACAGGCAGGGTCACTCTGACAGCTGAGATATGCCAGGCAGTGAAGGTTTACAACTTGCACACAAGAAGCTCTGACAAAAGAGATGTAAAAATCAATTACTCTGCAAGTTGCCCAAAGATTCAGAGTCGGCTCCTAGTAGCTGATGCTGACATTGTCGACATCTGATATTTGAAAAAGCAGGATCCGCAATCACCTGACAGTGTAAAGAAAACCTCCCATCTTTATGTAGCTGACAGGGACTTTTGGCAGAGGAGAAAGTCATTGAATCTTGTCAATGACGTTTGCCTCCAGCTGCCTGACAAATAAGTCAGCATCTCATGCCCCCAGAAGCCAGTGCCAATTGAAGCTGAACTATTAAGGGAAAAAAGTGACAATGACCTTCAAACTAAATATTTAAAGTAGGATATATTCCCCAAGTCAGTCTAGACACAATTTCATTTCTAGCATTTTTACAAACTATCTAATTAGTGAACCAAAACCAGAAACTGGATTTGTACAAACATGGAGAAATCTACTGAAGTAGCTCCCAAATTCTAAATTTTATATCATAGAAATTTTAACCCAAATCATATATTTATTGTGGGGCAACTGAAAGGTGATTGCAGCCTGTGGTTAGTATGTCTTTTTTTTTCTTTTTCCAGCATTCTACTTGCATTAATGAGAACAAAAACATAAACTATGACCTAGGGGTTTTTGTTGGATACTTAGCAATTTAGAATGGAAGAAGAACAACAAAGACATGCTTTCCATATTTTTCTTTACTTAGCTCTCAAAACAACATTATCTTTGTCTTTTTAATCTCACATTTTTGACTGATTTAACTTTTAAGGAAAGGTATTTTAAAATCCAGAAATACTTAACACATGAATATTTTGCTAAAAAGCACATATGACTACATTTTAAATACTCATTTATCTTTTTCTATATCTAAGACTCATATTGATTTTTACTATCACATATGAATAAAACCTTTTATCTTGTTTTCTTTCTTTAACATTGTATCTCACTCTTCTAAAATTTGAGTGGCTATCTTGAAAGATATAAAGGAAAGGTTAAAAGAATGTTGTTTGTCTCTAGAGTGCTTAGAAAGTATTTCCATAGTCAATGATGGTTTAATAGGTAAACTAAACCCTATAAACCTGAACTCCTTTATGGCTAATACTATTAAGAATATAGCACATAAGTGGCTAAGGTATGGATTTGTCTAAATAAACTCAATTTTAAAAAGTTCAAAGCTGTAGTTTTTGCGTGTTATTATTTAGTTGGTATGCTTATATTGAAAATAGAAGTGAATTTTTTCAATTGCTTTTAAAGAAATTAAGTAGCAACTAATGAATTTACTGCTATGCTCAAAACCGTCTTCGCTTAAAGTGAGAATCTTTGCCAGTAGACAGGCGCTGCTCTAAATCGCGAATGGTATTACGAAGAATTGCAATCTCCTTGTTTTTTTCTTCTTGAAAATGTTGAAGCTTCTAAATAAAGCAGAAAATATTTGTTATTGCAATGAAGAAATAATATAATTTTGTACAAGAAACAACAAAATGACAACAAAAAATGCATTTCTGGTATAAGTTGGTATTTAAAGAGAGACTTTATTTATTTATTTATTTATTGAGGCAGAGTCTCACTCTGTTGCCCTGGCTAGAGTGCCGTGGCATCAGCCTAGCTCACAGCAACCTCAAACTCCTGGGCTCAAGCAATCGTTCTGCCTCAGCCTCCCGAGTAGCTGGGACTACAGGCATGTGCCACCATGCCTGGCTAACTTTATAATATATGTATATATATGTATATTTTGTTTTTGTTGTTGTTGGCCAATTAATCTCTCTATGTATAGTAGAGACAGGGTCTTGCTCTTGCTCAGGCTGGTTTCAAACTCCTGGCCTTGAGCAATCCTCCCGCCTCGGCCTCCCAGAGTGCTAGGATTACAGGGGTGAGCCACTGTGCCCGGCCAGAGAGACGTTATTTTGAAAGGTTTATAATTTCAGTTTTGTGGGATTTAATGGGTAAAACTGGTATAAGAATGAAAAAAAACACCCCTGTTAAATATATTGTTAATTAATATTAGATAATTTTTATAGAAACACACTAAGAAAATGTATTTTCTTAAGCAATAGTCATGGGATAAAAACTCACATACCCTTCTGTAGATACTTTGTGGCAAAGCAGTAGAATCCGGATATGATTTTGATTTAATCTGAACTTTTGCTAGTTTGGCATCAAACTGAACCAAGTTTAAAAAGAAAGTTATTGAGACTAGTTAAACAATTAGAAACAATTGTTTTATAAATATAAATAAAATAAAACATCCATGAAATCAATTACATATCTGTAATTGAAGTGTATTTCTTATATAACAGATGATAGAAAAATCTTTAAGAAACAATTTTTTAAGAAAGAGCAAGAATACACACCATTAACCCTGCTTGCATGTTAAAATTACCTGGGGAGCTTTTTAAAAGTACCAAATGCCTAGGTACTATCTTAGAGATTCTAGGGTGTGTCTGGCATCATCTTTTTCTCAAAACATCAGGTGATTTATCATGCAGCCAGTGTTGAGAATGTAATTTAACTTAAAGATAGATAAAAATATTTTCACATTACCATGAATGTATTGTAAAGAATATATAGTGTACTCAACAGTTATGGGAGAAAAACTTACATATTCTTCTGTAGAGATTTCTGAAGGCACACAAAATTTTACTAAGATTTTGTCTTAGTTTGAACTCTTGCTGGTTTGAATTAAACTGATTAGGTTAAAAAATTTCTCATAAGTCATTCTTACAGGCCAATTTTTTTTCTTTTTTTGCACAATATTCCATTGCAATTCTTCCCTTCAGATTTAGTTTAGTGTAGCCTCTCTGAGGACTAAGAATAAATTCTGTGAGATTGTGTTCTAGTTGGAGGAGAGAAAAGGGTAGGTACAAGGGAGACAAATAACAAGGAATTCTGTATACCAGTCAAATAATAGAGTCTGGCTAGACCAGTGACAGAGCCAAGATGGCAAACAAAATGAAAATTCCCAAATAGTGGATTAGAAGTTGGTGGTAGATCTTAAAACATGAACTATTAATTTCAGTTGGCCATTTAGCCCTCTGTGGTTTGTGGGTACACTTGACCAGATGGCAGCAGCAAAGAGCCTTTAAAGTCAACATCAGTTCCCTTTCTACACAGTGATTACATATGGTACTTCACCAAGCACCCCAGGATACCAAAGTTTCAGGAAAATGAATAGTAAATTATCTTAACTAAGACCTGTGAATTCTTATACCATTAAAAACAAAATGAGAGTTGGGGGGTAGGGAGAAGCAATGGAAGCATAAATCAAAGGGAGATGGGTTAGAACCTAGAAAAAAATTTAAAGAATGAATGTTTTGTTAAAATATGATTATCTTTGGGATTCTGACATCTGGTTAAATAACCTACTTGAAAGGATTCAGAGAAAAGAGCTAGAGCCCTTTGCCTTTGAGATGCCCTGTTTAAAGTTCCTTTAATTTTTTTTTAAAGAATTTGGTTTGTTTGGCCCTGGAATATATATATTTCTAGAAATTTATTATGGAGAAATTTGTCTCTTTTTATCCAAATAAAGCAAAAGGGATTTCTGGTTGGTTTACCAGGGTTCCACAATTTCTGTTGCAGAGAGACTAATGTTAAAGATTAGAAACCCTCTTCCTATGCTGGAATGGTAGTCTTACGAAGCCTGCATAGACCTGAGTCATCCCTGAGTTATCTGTCCCCATGGCTCAGAGGAAATAACACCCTCTCTGGAAACCAGGACCTTTTGAACAACTGAAGAGTTCCACCTTCAGGCCAAGTGCTGAAAGGCAGTTTAGCTGACAGTTACGTGGAGTTTGAGCATTGCATTTGATAGAGAATGAATATGTATGAAGCCCTCTCACAGGATTGTTTCTAGTCCTGAAATTTATCTCACTGTGATGAAAAATAATCAAAGAACAGTTTAGACTATGGGATATGTCCTCAAGTTTAGCATATTCTTAAACCTACCTCTAGCTGTAGCTTTATTATTTCACTTTGTTTTTCCTTTTCTTGGGTTCTTAATTTTGCATTTAACTCTGAAATTTCCATTTCCTTTTTCTTGATTAGTTCTTTGTGCTTTTCTTCATTTAATTCAACTGAATAAAATAAAAATAAATAAAATTCATTAATTTAACATTTCAAAAATATTATAAGCCTATATTTCTTTAGTACTTTAAATAGTTCACAAGAAAGTAAATTTTATTGATAAAAATATTTTAGAAATTATGTGTAGGGTAGACCTTTTATATATTTTTGACAAGACCATGGCATAATGTTTGAAACACAAAGGTCACTCATCAAATGCTTTTGAATAAGTAAACTCATTTGTACTCTTAAACATCAATAACCTAGAAAATAAATAGGTGATTCAGTGGTTAAAGAGGGCACAAAGCCTGGGTTCCCGCGTGTAAAGCCCCAAACTTATGGATGACTCTAGAGCTACATCAAGCCCCTGCTATACTATTCCATATGATTAGGCTTCTGTCATGTTCACATATGTCACTAGGCTTCATCAAATTTCCTCTTCTCTCTATTTTCTTTTTTTGTGTGTTTGTTTGTTGGCTATTTTATTGAAAACAACAAATCGAGCCTCTGATGTACCAAGTAGGTCCAAAGTTGTTGACCGTATTTATAGTCTCTACAAACTTACAGCCTGTAAACGTAACATGGATAATGAAAGAATGCTTTATAAACAAAAGAATTCTTCTGTAAGCATTCCCTTTTCTCCAGAAACAGCTGTAAGGACCAGAATAGTTTCAAGACTTAAGCTAGATTGGGTTTTGAGATAGCATGGAAGAAATCACAGACCCCCTGCAAGCTATTCAAATGGTGATGGACACACTAGGGATTCCTTATTAGTAAAGAACTCTACAGGCCGGCAATCAGCACTGAGGATAACAGGCCACAACCCCACAAGTCCACACTCATGCTGTGTTCACCAACCCAAGTGAAGACCTTCCTTCAAGCAGACGAGAAGAAAGACTGCTGTGCTTCTTGTACTATGGTATAATTATAACATTTTATACTTTTTAAAACATTTACAAATAAAAATCTAAAGTATCAAAATTCAAATTAAAAAAAATCTGACTGACTTAATCCAGTCAGTGGACATCTAAAGCCATCACAGACCACTGGGATCAAGCAATAAGTGGGAATGCTGCCCAACGGCCTCTCCTGTTCCTACCCACCCCCAATGCTGCACGAGGCCTGGCAGTGAGTTCTGGCCACTATGATGGCAACTGTCACCCCTGCCATCCCGGTGCAGAGGCTGGGGCCACCCATCAGCATGCCATGAGGTGGCAGAATCTTTCATCACAAGGAAATGACCACGGGTATAGCTTCCCCAATTTAAATTTTTTAATTTTAAAGTAAACTTCATTCTAGAAAATGCAAAGTTGGGGAAGGACAGAAAAAGATCACACACCACTCCACCACTTCTCATATTCTCCAGGGCTGCTCAGCTGAGACACCATTTCCTGAGCTCTCTCTGGGACCAGGTTCGCAAGTGGCGGAACACTCGCAGGGCGGTGGCCAGGGGCCCAGCAGCCGATGAACAGTCGGCCTCCACTGCCTCATGTTCCTCCCTCACCTGGAGAGGCTGAGGCCCGGTGTTCCCCTTTGGCTGGGGCAAGAGAGGAACCTGGCAAGGCCCTGCCCTCTGACCGCTCAGGCTCTGGACCTGCCTGAGGCCTGCCTCATGGGGATGACCTGCCCCACCCTATTGGTGTAAATGCTGTCGTCCATGTTCACGTCCATCCAGACAACCTTGGTGGGGTGAGCACCGGGCCTGTTCTCATGGTCCCCTGCACAGACCCATGGGTGGGGAAGGGACCTAAATAAGCAGTCTCCACCATTCATTGGTGTTTAGGGACAAGATTATGGGATTGGGTCAGCCCTAAATTGGAACTGAGTTGTTTCTCAGCCTGGATTTTTCTTTCAAAATGAACAAACAATGCTGTGAGTGGAGCCAGGTCCTGGCTCCTGTCTGTAGGGTCCACAGGGCAGCACCCTCCCATGCAGGACGTGGGCCCATGGATGGTCACTCATGAAAGAGCAGACTTTGGGGGGAAAACAAGGGAGAAGAGACCTGGAGACTTCTTCTGGCATTGAGAATGTGTCCCAGGAAAAGGACCTGCCACCTCTGCAGATGTGATGGCCCCAGCGCCATCCCAGGAGCGTGGCCCGGCCCCTCACAGCTGCGTCTCTGGCTTCCTCCCAGAGGTGAAGTGGGGCGGCCCTGCTGGCTGCAGCCCCTGCTGCTGCTGCTTCTGCTTCTTTAGCGCTCTGTAGGCCTGCACAACCCGCTCCCTCTCCTCCCCCACGATCCGCTGTCACGGCAGCGTGGTGGTCCCAGGCCGGGGCACACCGCCAAGGCTCAGAAGCATCCTCAGCATCAGCGATTTCTTGCCAGGCTGAGGAAGAGGGGAGAGTGAGGCACAGGCGAGGAAAGAGCAAGGCCTGATGATCCAGGAGCTCTACGCCCAGCGAGGATATAGTGCTCTCGCGGCCACAGACGGGGCACACACTGGCCAAGACACCTGCTTCCTGGCAGCAGCACTGGGGAACAAATTGAACAACTCCCTTCTCACCAGCCCAGGCCTACCTGGTCCCCGGCTATGCTTCTCCTGGGCTTGGCGGTCAGCTCTGGGGGCTGTAGGGCAACTTCACCGAACTTCACAGTATCTTGGAACAGCTCCTGCTCCAGCCTTTCTGCTGCTTTTTCCTCCTTTCTCTGCCGGATTTTATCCAGTTGCCGCTTTTGGAATGCTTTCTTCTGTTCAGACTTCTCCTTCTTGGGAGCTACCTGCGCCTTTGGCTGCCGGTTGGCCTGGTTCTTGCTGAGGAACAGCACGTGCTGGGCCTCTTGCTCCATGAGCTGGACATAGGCCCTGTCAGACTCCCACTTCCTCTGCTTGAACTTGGGGATGGTGATGTCTGGCTTTACTCCCTTAGCTTCCTTCTCCAGTGTCTTTATGAAAGCCAAATGGGCCTCTTTCTTCCTCTTCTTGTTACTGATCGGGTTTTTCATCTCCTGGCGGCTCCTCATGATCTCCCGGACGGAGACGGTAAGGGATTTCCTGTTCGTCCTGGTTTTGGGGCTTGCAATTCACTTTCTTCTTTTCTTTGCTGTGCTGCCCGGGCTGCGGAGCCAAGCACTGTCTCCCCCTGGAACTCCTGCTGCCGCAGCCACCATGCAGTCGCCCTGGGCTCCCGGGCCCCGCAGCCACCCCTCTGTGTCAAGCACCCGCCATCTCTCAACACCTCTCTATTTTCTTATTCCTGTTAATGACACCATGCCATAGCTCACTGCAACCTTGAACTCTGGGCTCAGGTGATCCTCTTGCCTCAGCCTCCTGAGTAGCTGGGACTACAGGCATGCACCACTATGCCCAGCTAATTTTTCTTGTTTTTTAAAGATGAGGTCATGTTGTCCAGGCTGGTCTCAAACTCCTGGCCTCAAGTTATTCTCTCACTTCAACTTTCCAAGTGGGTGGGATTATAGATATGAGCCACCACACCTGGCTCTATATATTTCTTTACTATAGTTTTCAGTTTTCCATCAGAATTCTCCATTAAGTCCTTTTATTTCTTGATTATATTAACCAGAGAATTATAAATTCCATATCTGATGACACCGTTATCTGAATCATAGCTGAATCTATATTTATTTCCTTTTTAAAAGTTTTATAATTGAGCTTGCTTATTATTATTATTATTTTTTTTTTGAGACAGAGTCTCGCTTTGTTGCCCAGGCTAGAGTAAGTGTGGTGGCGTCAGCCTAGCTCACAGCAACCTCAAACTCCTGGGCTCAAGCAATTCTGCTGCCTCAGCCTCCCGAGTAGCTGGGACTACAGGCATGCACCATCATGCCCGGCTAATTTTTTCTATATATATTAGTTGGCCAATTAATTTCTTTCTATTTGATAGTAGAGACGGGGTCTCGCTCTTGCTCAGGCTGGTTTCGAACTCTTGACCTCAAGCAATCTGCCCACCTTGGCCTCCCAGAGTACTAGGATTACAGGCGTGAGCCACCGCACCCGGCCTGAGCTTGCTTATTTTTAAAGTCAGATTTACTGAGGCATAACTCATATATAGCAAAATCCCTTTTGCAGTATATAGTTTGATGAGTTTTGACAAACATATGCATAATCTAACCACACTGCAATCAAGAAATTGAATTTTCCATCACTTTAAAAAGAATCCTTGTGACTTTGCAGTCAATTTGTTTATTTTTTAATTATTATGGATATGTAATAGTTGTATATCTTTATAGGGTACATGTGATATTTTGATACAGGCATACAATGTGAATTAATCAAATCAGGATGATTGAGGTATCCATCACCTCAGACATTTATTATTTCTTTGTGTAAGGAACATGCTAATTCCACTCTTTTAGTTATTTTAAAGTAACTAAAAAAACAAATTTGGATCAAGTACTCTCTGTTGGTTTTGCCTAAACTTTCTCAGAATTGCACCATAGTCTGACTTTTTTTTTTTAACCCAACCTTCTTTCTTTCTCTATCCTTCACAGGGATAGACATGCATTGTAGATTAACAGCTCACCCAGCCTTCTCTAAGCCCCTCCTTATTTCCTCTCATAAGCATTTTCCCCAATAAATCTCTTGAATAATCCAATCCCATCTTAGTGTTTCCTTCTTGACGAACCTGAACTAGCACAAGAAAACAGGTATAATGGGGTTCTGAGATCAGCTCACTTACCACTTTGTGGGCACTGAAAAAGCCATCCTTAGTGGTATGTAGAATACTTGTAGTTCCTAGTATATAATGGGGTTCTGATTACTACAGATTTGACCAGAAGTAATCTGGGGAAATGTCTTAGTGGTGGGGACCACCTTGCAGGTGTGATAATTCAGACATTTGAAAGATGGATGAAAACAATGCCACAAAGGCAGTAAAGTTGTCTGGTTACTGCTAAATTAAATTGACATCCTACTGATGGATAATGAGAACTAGGGCTGTTCACAAGTAGTTAAAGATTTAAAGAACAAGTATGAGAGCCAGAGAGACTCTTTGATAGCTGACGAACATGCTCTTTCCTTTGACAGTAGAATAGTAGACACAGCTGAGCAACAGAAAATAGAGTTGAAGAACTCCAGAGATGTTTAAATGTTTAGCCAAAACAGGTTTACTATGATAAAATTGGGACCCTGGTTGGGAAAACCTGAGATCCTGAAGAAATAAGCCCCCTGGGGGCCCTGGGGACATCTGGATGGATGTCTTTGAGGATGCTGGCTCTAAAGATCTCCTTAAACCCTCATAGTTTAGAAACATGGCCTATTCTTTTCTACTAAGAGCTAGCACTTCCCTTGTGCTGAAAGATGCTACAGAGGCTCATCTCAGAATCTACTCTTACCTCCTCTTTTGGCTGGTAGGTGAATAACTAGGAGTAAGGTCCAGTATAATCTGGTTGGGGGAGTGCTGGGGCTGATAAGGGAGGAAGGTGCTTATACCTCAAAGGATCTGTAAGAATAAGCTGGGTTGTATTGGTAAGAGCCATGTGTGTACCCCCGAGAATAGACTTTGCTGCTGATCAAAGGAGACAGAAAGTAAGACTGGGTAAGTAAGAATTCATTGACTTGAGGCTACTTTTTTGGGGATGGGGAAAATAATACCCTAGCAAGGATCCCAGGAAATGGGGCAAATGCTCTGCTAGAGTAGCCTCAGACCTCTAGAGAAAGCAGTGACCTACACTGAGTGAAATGAAAATGCCTGAGCTGCCCTGACAGATAGTAGAAAAAGGAATTAGAAGGCTGTAGAAAGTTGGCATGTTGGAACGGATATACTATATGAGGCAAGAAAACTCATCAAAGGACTATGTTCTTCAGGAGGGCCCAGAAGATATTATTAACCAAGGCCACTAGAAATGTGCTGGTGAGAGGTAAACCAGCACCACCAAAAGTTCAGCAGTCACCCTCCCCTGCAAGCCAGTCTTGATAGTAGAAGAGGTTGTCATGGAGCTATGCTCATTAATATCCATGGAATAGTTTCCTCTCCAACACAAAGTAATAGAAGCCAGATGATGGCACTTAACTGCCAAAAGCCAAGAGGCAACAATTACCAAATGACCAAGAATTTCAGAGAACAGCCAAAGGGACTTGATTTGCAGACAGTTGTAGAGATAGTTAATAGATATGCAGCCAACTGTACATAATATCTACAACAACAACAAATCAGAAATAGAAGAACAGGAGGCTTAGGCACATACCCCAATTAAAAAATAATCATCCTTTGTTCAGTTTCCAGAACAGAATCAATTTTTGGATCTGGAACCCACTGTCTAAGGATAAGGTCAGGTTCCTAGGAGGAAGAACACTTAAACAACTCTTCTTCTAGGTGTTACCCTAAGAAGAAAGGCCCACAGGAACCATGAAAGAGTTGTTACCTGAAGCCATGTACAGAAGTGAACCTGTATAGTCCAGGGGATGGCTACAGTGACTATGAAAATGCTCCTTTCAGACCTCCAACTTCAGAGAGTATAATTGACTGTTTTCATGACCATGCTTAGGTTGAGGTCATGCTTCTTAAGAGATGCTCCTAGCCAATGACTGAGCTTGATAGGGATACTAAGGCGAGCTTATTCATGAGAGTTGTAGAACTTATTTGATGGGCAACTTTGGCTCAACTTTTTTGCTGAAACTTTCTTAGGAATGTGTCACAGTCTAAGACTTTCCCTACCCAAGATTCCTTCCTTTCTTCTTTTCTTCATAGAGGTTAAACTTGTATCATAGACTGACAGCTCATCCAGTTTATCTTTGTTCCCTCCCCATCTACCCTCACAAATGTTTTCTCCAGCAAATCTCTTGAATGTCTAATCCTGTCTTTGCATCTGCTTCTCAGAGAACTCAAATTATCTCACTGCATGTTTAACTTTAAAAGAAATTGTCAAGATATTTTTAAAGTGACTGTATCATTTTATAGTTCCACCAATAAGGTATGAGAGTTCATGTTGTTACACATCCTTATCAAAACGTGGCATTCATTGACAGTTTTTAAGATTTTAGCTACTCTAAAAGGTACATGGTAGTATCTCATTGTGGTTTTCATTTTCATTGTATTTCCCTACGAACTAATTATGTTGAACATTGTTCCATGTGCTTATTTTCCATCTGTACATCTCTGGGGTAGTAACTGTTCAAATATTTTGCCCATTTCCTTGTTAAATTGTCTAACTTCTTCTCATTGAATTGTTGGAGTTCTTTATATATTTTTCATATAAGTTCTTATCAGATATGCATTTGCAAGTATTTTCTCCCATTTTATGGCCTTTCTATTCATTTTCTTATCAGTGTTGAAGGTTAGAAATGAATAATTTTGATGAAGTTCAATTTAGAACTTTCACCTTTATTGTTTGTGCTTTTTTTTTTCTTTCAAAGAAGTTATGCCTAACTCAGGGTCACAAAGATGATTTCTTATGCATGCGTCTAGCCGTTTTATAGGTGTAGGTTTTACATTTAGACCTATCATCCATTTCAAATTAATTTTTGCACATGATGTGCATAAAGGTAGACTCATTAAAAAAGGATTTTAAATAACTGTATGAAACCAATTACCCCTCAACATAGGCTCATGAGATCTGCTTTACTGAAGGAGGAAAATTTCATTAGTGAAATTATATTCAATATGCTAAGTATATACCTATAAAAGTTATTAATTATATATTTTATACTAATTATATATGGACAGTGTTTCACATTAGCTAATACTAAGTACAGATACTAGAAATGAAATTTAGAAATGTATTTGTAAACAAAAATATATAGAAAGGCATGAAACCAAAATTAAAATGCATTAAGGCAACGTTCATTCAAGAATATTGGCTCTTACTAAAAAATTATTCACATATTTAAATTGCTTTATGATATCTTAGAATCCATTAAATTAAAAGTTAAAAACTTCAGCATCACCTTTCTTTCCAGAAAGAAAAGAAAAAGAAAAAAAAAAATTAAAAACTTACCTTTTTTCTGCATGTCCTGACAAAGTTTGCTTATTTCTATCTTATATCCCTCCTCTTTGATTTTCATTTCACTTACAAGTTTGGCAATATTATTCTTATATTCCTAGAGATTAAAATACATATTAATTTAAAAAATATAAATATGTGTATATAACTTCTGATTAATAGAAAGGTGAAATCTCAGTTTATATTAATATTTGATATAATCATATCTAGAAGGGAAATATTTATTGTTTGAATAATCAGCTTTGAGAAAGACCAATTTATTTTTTTGTATGTACATAGTGCAATATTTATTTTTTAATTTAAATTTAAATTTTAATTAATAAATAAAAATTGTATATATTTATGGTATATAACATGACATATAAATATATTTAAAGGCAAAGAGCAGCACTTGTTCCCCACTGCAGGGACTGAGGGGCTAGTGGACCCCTCCACCCAAAAACAAAATCCTGTTTTTAGAGATACTATATTGCCCAGGCTGGTCTCATACTCCTGACCTCAAAGGATCCTTCTACCTCAGCTTTCCAAGTAGTCAAGACTATAGGTGCAAGTCACTGTGCCTGGCTGATATTTTTGAGAGATATATATATCTCACTATATATATATATATATATATATATATATATATATATAGTGAAATGCCTAAATCAAGCTAATTAATATATCTATTACCTCACATACTTCTCATATTTTTGTGGTAAGAATATTTAAAATCTACTCCTTAGCAATTCTCAGGTATATGACACATTGTTACCACAATAACCACATTGTATTAATACAATGTGGTTTATTCCTTCTGTCTAATTGAAATTTTATATCCTTTGGCCAACTTCTCCTCAATTGCCTTGTCACCCTAACAGTTCCTGCTAACTACTACTCTACTCTCTGCTTCATGAATTTCATGAAAAAGACTGATCTCTGACCTAAGGCGATAAAGATAATATAGAAACAATATATTTTTACCTTTATTTCCTGAATATTTATCACCAGTGTTTAGCATGTTATGGATGCTCAAAACATTTAATTGTACAGATAAATGCTACTACAACATTAAAATATGTTCAATATGGGCTAAAACTATACTTTAGAGCTAATGGAAGGCACTGTTCTACAGCTAGCAAGCTTACTCTAATGTAGGATGAGTCTCTTTGAATGTGGGCTGAACTTCTGTTTCTGAAAATTATGTAAATATTCCTAATTCCTAGAAGGAGATTAAGCACTACTCATGATAAGGGTTAGCTTTAGGAGGAGGCATTAAGAGAAGATAGATTTGGGATTTGAAAAGTCCTCCATAGCAGCCTGAGATTAGTTTCTTAAATTGTTGAAGCATAGGGAAGATTTATCATGCTAATAACAGGGAGAGGACCATTGAGAGTGGTGCTGGAATAGAAAGCTCCCAAGACAAACTTTACCATTTTTTCAGGAGTATGGTCTTACATAAGAAACTACTCATAGGCCTAAGATGTAGACAAGAGAAAAGGTAAGCAGAAAGAATAAAAGTTAAGTAGGAGAATAGAAAAAAGCAATAATAAAGGCAAGAAGGTGAATAAAAGCCTCTAAACACCATAAAAGCTGGGATTCAATATTGTATTCCCAACTTCATATATATGTATACCTTGATGTTTATTTGTTGAATGAATGGGAGTAACAATAAGAATTATTTAGATCAGAGATTTTAGCCCAGACCCAGTGAATGGGATTTTGAGGGTCCCTCAACTTTCTGAAATTTTATGCAAAATTATGTGGGGGTGTGTGTGTATGTGCATGCATGCCTTTGAACATTTTTCTCAGGAAGGGTTCATAGCTTTTAATAGATATTCAATGGTACTGAGGAGTTAAAATAAAGGTCAAAACACACTGGTTTATATAAGTTATACAATTTTAAATAGACACACATTCCTCCAGATTACCTCAATTCAAGGCATATAGTCTGGATTCCTATTTGTTGTACTCACCCTGCCAGGCAACTTGCAGGAATGGCCAAACCAATCCAATGTCTTGGATCTGATGAAAACTAGGCAGGTGAATTCAGGGGTGAATCTCACAAATTACCATTTTCCATATACATGTATCTAGGTTTCTGGATGGGCAACTACAGAGTAGCTTCTTTCATAAACTATTCTGGACTCAACTGTGTGCACTAAGCCATTGCTGCTCTGAGAAACCACAAGAGACAAATCTATCTATCCTGGAATATTCCACTGATTTTGCCACCTGAAAATGCTACCACTACAGTAGAACACTTCCATGAATTCGGCAAGACCGAGGATTTCCACCAAAGCCACTAGGCATAAAGGCCATCCTAAAGTTCAGGCTGAGTCAAGCTGTATCTCACCAGGTTCTGCTCCCCCATTTCAGCTTGTGCCAGTCCTAAGGAATTTAATTCCTTCCTTTTCTAAGGGGACCAAGCCTCAATAAGTTATAATCGGTTGCCTTCTTCTCATATCTTTTCTGGGAACTTTAAATTCCAAGGGATAGCCTCTGGTTGTATTCTTGCTTTATAAAATTTAATGATTCTCTGTATAAAAGTTACAAAAATCCACTTCTCCCACAAATATCACTATTAGCTAATGTATCTCTTGAGTTTGTTCCTAGGGAGCAGTTCTTTATGAGTTTTGGATGTGTCTAGAGATATTGTACTAGCAAATCCTCATTGGATTGAGGTCATTTTTTAGTTTGCTTTGAACAGCAGCTAAATAAAAAATTCAGAATCTTGGGTTGTGATGTTTTCTATTTAATTTCCACTCCTTTGAAAATTCCGATAATATTCTAGACAAAAGTAGTATCCTAGGACTTGAAGTTTTAGAAAGGAAAGGAGATAAAATTTTCTCTCTCCTTGCTCCCTACTCTGATTCCAACCTGACTTCGCCATTTATTGTAGAGCTCTACAGTCAAGATATGGAAGGGACTGGGAAAGAATAAAGGAAAAAGGGACAAAGGGGGGAAAAAGATAGGATGTGTGAGGACAAGAGTGACTTTATTTTAAATGTTAATCTGTCATGTGACTCCCGACTAACCATAAGTCCAGGAATGTCTCCAAGATGTCTAGTTGACGTATTACTCCTCATGTAGGAACACCTATTTATTTGCCTTTCCTCCAAAAAATCCTTGATGTTGTTGCACACATCATAGGCTGTAACGCCCAAAGCCACCTACAAATTTCTTCCAGAGCCCCCATACACTTTTCCCCCAAGATATAAGCCGAGTCTAGTGAGTTGCAGTGCAGATATCTACCTGTTTTGTGGCCACTAAAGACTATGCTCTGTCCATAAGTTCCCCTACTAAATCACCCCATACCAACAAACTGAATTTGTCTGCCTCCTTTTTTGGTTTCTCAGCTCCTTTAGCATTTGGGAGGCACTTTCCATAAATGGCCCTTTCATGAAACAAGATAAGTCCACAAATATTTAAACCACCTCAAAATTGGGGATGAAAAGCTATATTTTTGTAAGAGCACAGCCAGAGTGCTACTTATTACTGCTGAGTATTACCCAAAATACTGGGCAGGTTTCTTCAGAGGCTTTTCAAATGAGGAACCAGACTGAATTTAGGGAGATTCTTCAAGCTGAAGCCTCCTCTAGATCCAACTTGAGTATTGGAGATCTTAGGTCTGCCAGAATTGGCTTATGGGAGATGAGAATAAGTTAGAATAATGAGCCTCCCAAAGGGCAGAGGAATGGGAACCAACGTTTATTAAGCATCTTTCATGTTTCGTAGGCACTGTCTACAGTTGCTATCACTATACTGTTCCTATAGGAGATTGTTCCCTTCATTTGAAAGCTGCAACAATTAAATTAACTGGACAACTAAATATATATATATATATATATATATATATATATATATATATATATATGTAAACTTAGCCAGGCATGGTGGCACATGCCTGTAGTCCCAGCTACTTGGGAGGCTGAGGCAGTAGGATTGCTTGAGTCCATGAGTTTGAGGTTGCTGTGAGCTAGGCTGATGCCACAGCACTCTAGCCCAGGCAACAGAGTGAGACTCTGTCAAAAAAAAAAAAAAAAAAAAGAAAGATGCAACAATTACCCAAATCATAGAGAGTACAGGCTCACTTATCTTAGAATGAAAAATATTCATAAGTGCTAATCAATAGACTATACTCCAGGGCAGGGGTCCTTAAACTTTTTAAACAGGGAGCCAGTTCACTGTCCCTCAGACCATTGGAGGGCTGGACTATAGTTTTAAAAAAGCTATTAACAAATTCCTATGCACACTGCACATATCTTATTTTGAAGTAAAAAAAAAAACAAATGGGCAAAAACACCTGCATGTGGCCCACAGTCCGTAGTTTGAGGGCATCTGCTCTAGAGTAAAAACACTATTAATGTAATTAAAAATATGTAGCAAAATAACTGCATATCTTTTTAGCAGAAAGAAACAGTAATGCAAGTGATATATTAGTACATTATATTTTATAAAAATATTAGAGTTATCAAAACTTGTATTACTTTAAAAATAAATTTTCATGTATTAAAGATTTTGGTGCTTATATATATCTGCATACACACAAATTTTTGGCTGTGTTTATTAATGAATACAATCCCTTATTTTCTAATTTGAAAAGACAAATGCTTTACAGGGACTTGATTGAATATAATAATAAACTCACCTGTTCATGAGACTTTAACTTCTCTTTTATAAGATCAGCATTTCTTTTTAGTTGTTCATTTTCATCTGTGTAAAAATAATCAAAAAACAAAATCCATTTTTGATTAATATGGGAATATGCTTAGTGTTTTTGCTTCCATTCATGTATGCATTCAATAAACATACATCCAGCACCTACTACACATCACGCACTGTGCTATATACTGGGAATGTAGAAACAAAAAGAGAGCAATTGCTCTTCAAAAACTCATGTAGTAATGAGTCAGATGTTAGTAGTTATACTATGATATAATAATTGCTCTATAGTGAAAATGTATCAGAAATATTGTAGAAACTTATGAAAGGGAAGCCTAAGTCAGCTTGAAGTAAGGAAAAAATTTAGAGAAGAAGGACCACTTGGGCTGAGATTTAAATGATAAGGCTATCCCATGTTAAGGGAGGGCATTCTAAACACAAAAAATTACACAGAAGACCTTGGGGCTTGAGTGAATACAGCAGGTCTGGAAAAACTACAAATCAAGTACAGTATCATTGGAGTGTAAAGTGTGAAGAAGAGGTATTATATAGATTGGAGCCATATCACCAAGGTGGACATATTCTATATAAATGACTTTGGATTTTGCTTTAAAGGTTACAGGGAGTCATCAAAGAATTTTGAACAATGAATAAGTGAAATGATTAGAGTTATGTACTAAAAAGATTATCTGGTAATGTGGATGAGGAATGAGAGTTTTGACCCTAGAACAGGGGTCCTCAAACTTTTTAAACAGGGGGCCAGTTCACTGTCCCTCAGACCGTTGGAGAGTGCGCACTGTGGGCCGGGATGAGTTGGCTGCTAAGCAGGACAGGCAGTGGCAGCAAAAACACCCCAGGGACAGATAAATGTGCTAGGTGGCTGTGGCCTTCGGGCTGTAGTTTGAGAATGCCTGCCCTAGGGGCATGGAGATCAGTAAGGATAGATCAAGTAGGAGATAAAGAACCTAAATTAATTCAGTGACAGTATAGAAAAAAGTAGGCACTGAGAACTATTTAGATGGTAGAATTACCAAGGGATTTAGTGACTGGTTGGATAGAGGAGGTAAAAGTGAAATGGGGGGAGCATTTGCCTTTTAGGTGTCTGGTTTGGGTAACTAAACACAATGCCTTAATGACCTTTTGGGCAAATTTTAAAACCCTATAGTTAATTTTGATTACTAAACATGTGGGTCAATTTAAAACCTCAATTTCCTATTTAATTGAAAGTTTTCATGACCCTTATCACTGGCTAGATCTGTGGCTAGAAGGACACATGGACTTAGTTTGCTCTTTAATTGCTCTTCCCTGTCTTTCCTCTGGGTCTATCTCTTGGAGGTTGGAAACAAAGAAGGGGAGAGATGAAAAATTCTCTAAATTTTTGAGGGTCTAGTTCTCTAGGTAGTTGTGGCAAATATATTGAGAGTTTGGATTCAACCCAAATTTTGGTAACTTTTTGGCAGCTGTTTTTTAGAATATGGGAATATGTAGCTATTTTGTTGCTGTTAATTGCAGAGTGGGCCCTGGTCACTGATTTCAGGTTAATAGGAAAAGTCACCTATTACACATTCCTCTCTACAACCTTAACTATAAACACAATCAAAAACTAGTTAAAACAAACAAAACAACAACAAATGTAAAGATTTTTGACATTATCTGAACAATGCTTTAGGAAGGTTTGTTTTGTAGTATAGTAATGTTGAGAGGAGCCTTGGAAATAGCAGAGGCATTAAATCACAATATTAAATTTAAAATAAAAATCTAAAATCAATTAGCTTTCAAAGGTTAGGATCAGACACAGATAGGAAAAGTGTTATATTTTAAAGGGTCATATTTTAAAGGCTTTTTTTTAGGGGTCATATTTTAAACAAAGCCTTATCTCGATGACTTCAATTTTATAAAAATTTTGTCAGAAAATTTGATGTTTTTTGAATGAAACACACATTGATTGTATGAAAATATTTCCAAGAAAACACACACAAAATGTACTATTCCCTTTGGTAACAAAAGACTTCAGATATGTTTTCTGCTTTCCCCCCCATTCTAATGAGATTTTCAAACCATGGGGACACAATGCTCTCATAGTCATGCTACCTGAAAGTTTTCAAAGTGAAATGCATCTTGTCAGTACAATGTGTGTATTGTAGAGTTTTGAAAGTGCAGCTTTCAGAGAATTTTGATCTTTCTACTAGTAAGGGAGCTTGCCTTTCTTCTGTCATTCAGCTTTATATAATTTTAAAGTCGAAGTATTATTTTATTATGATAAAATATACATAACAAAAGTTACCATTTTAGCCATTTTAAGTGTATGCTTCAGTGGCACTAAGCATACTCACATTGTTGAATAACTATCTTCACTATCCATCTCCAGAACTTTTTTATCATACCATACTGAACTTTGTATCAATGAAACAAGAACTCCCCTCTCTCCCTCCCACTAGTCTGGCAACTACTGTTCTACTTTTTGTCTCTCTGAATTTCAGGTATAGCACATAAGTGGAATCATAGTAATGTCTTCAAGTTTCAGCCATGTTATAGTATGTATCAGAATTTCATTTCTTATTAAGGCTGAATAACATTCCATTGTATATATTAACATATACCACATTTTGTTTATTGATTCATCTGTCGATGAACATTTGGGTTGTTTTGGCTCTTGCGAGTAATGCTGCTATGAACATTGCTGTACAAATCTCTGCATCCCTGCTTTTGATTCTTTTGCGTCTGCATCCAAGACTGGAGTTACTGCATCATTTGGTAGTTCTATGTTTAATTTCTTGAAGAATTGTCAATTTTCCACAGCAGCTGCACCATTTTACAGTATCACAGCAATTCACAAGGGTTCTAATTTCTCCACATCCTCACCAAACTTATTTTTTTTAATAATAGGCATCCTAATATGTACAAAGTGGTATCTCATTGTGGTTTTGATTTGCACTTCCCTAAGGGTTAATGATGTTGAGCATATTTTCTGTGCTTACTGGTCATTTGCATATCTTTTTTGAAGAAATGTCTGTTCAAGTCCATTGGCTATTTGTGAACCAAATTGTTTTTCTTTGTTGTCAAATTGTTGAGTTCTTTATATATTCTGGATGTTAATCCCTTATCAAATATGTGATTTGCAAATATTTTCTCCCATTCTTTGGATTGTCTATTTACTCTACTAATATATCCTTGATACACAAAAGATTTTTTGTTTTTCTTGAGACAGGATCTCACTCTGTTACCCAGGCTGCAGTTCAGTGGCAATAGTATGATCATAGCTCACTGTAACCTTGAACTTCTGGGCTCAAGCTATCTTCCCAACTCAGCCTCCCAAGTACCTAGGACTACAGGCTTGTGACACTATGCTCAGCTAATTTTTTCTTTGTTTTGTAGACATAGGGTCTGGCCATGCTATGTTGCCTAGGCAGGTCTTGACTCCTGGCTTTAAGTTATCCTTCCACCTAGACCTCCCAAAGTGCTGGGATTACAGGTGTGAGCCACTGTGCCTAGCCTCCAAATTCTAAATTCTGATAAATGCCAATTTGTCTCTTCCTTTGTTGCCTCTGCTTCTGGTGTCATATCCAAGAAATTGTGAAATCCAGTTTCATGAAGCTTTTCCCTATGTTTTCTTCCAAGAGTTTTACAGTGTTAGCTCTTACCATTAGGTCTTTAACCCATTTTGAGTTAATTTTTGTACATGGTGTGTTACCTAAGGTCCAGCTTTATTCTTTTGCATATTGATATTAAGTTTTTCTAGCAACCATTATTGAAAAAACTGTGCTTTCTCAATGAAATTGTCACTCTAGTTGAAAATCATTTGATATAAATGCAAGGATCTATTTCTGGGATCTCTATTCTACTCTACTGGTGTATATGTTTGTCTTTATTCCAGCACACACACACACACACACACATACACACACACACATACACACACATATATACATATTCATAATACTTAAGGGTGAGGAGTTTCCTAAAAAAGATTGTGCTAATTAGGAAACCAACACCTCTTGTATGTATAAGAAATGTTAAAGCACCTATCACTGAAAGAATTCTGTCAGGAAATTTGATGTTCTCCAAATTATACAAAGGCATATTGATTTGTTTTAATAAGTGATAAACAGAAAGACATCTCATGTTAATGGATTGGAAGAATTATTCTTAAAAGGTCCATACTACCCAAAGTGATCTACATATTTAATGCAATGCAATCTTTATCAAAACCTCAATTGCATTCTTTATAGAAGCAGACAAAATAATCATAAAATTCATATGGAACTGCAAAAGACCTTGAATAGACAAAGCAATCTTGAGCAAAAAGAACAAAACTCATGTCATCACACTTTCTGATTTCAAAATATATTACACAGCTACAGTAATCAAAGCAGTATGGTACTGGCCTACACATAGACATATAGACCATGGAACACAATAAAAAACTAGATAAATTCACACATCTATGTTAACTAATCTTTGACAAAAGTTGAAGAATACACATTAGGGAATGTATAGTTGTCCCAAGAACACATATTTGGGACAGGATAGTTTCTTTACATTGGGGAAAACTGGATATCCACATGCAGAAGAATGAAATTGGACCCTTATCTCACATCATATACAAAAATTAACTCAAACTGAATTAAAAGATTTAAATGTAAGACCTGAACCATAAACTTATTAGAAGAAAACATAAGGAGAAAGTTTCTTGACATTGGTCTGATCAGTGACTTTTTGGACATGTGAGATATGATGTGAGATATTTTACACTTATGAAAACAGCTATTATCAAAAAGACCAAAGATAGCAAGTGTTGGCAAGGATGTGAAGAGAAGGGAATCTTTATATACTGTTACTGAAAATATAAATTGGTATAACCATTATAGAAGACAGTATAGAGGTTCCCCCTCAGACTGAAAATAGAACCACATATAGAAAATAGATCCCTCATATAGGTATATATCCAAATGAAATTAGTATCTTAAAGAGATATCTGTACTTCCATGTTCATTTTAGCACTATTTAAGATAGGCAAGATATGAAAACAAATTAAATATCCATCAATGGATGAATGGATAAAGAGTATATGGCATATATATACATGCAATGGAATATTATTCAGCCTTAAAACCAAAGGAAATCCTGTCATTTGTGACAGCATGGATGAATCTGGAGGGCATTATGCTAAGTGAAATAAGCTAGATGTAGAAAGACAAATACAGCATGATCTCTTACATGTGGAATCTAAAAACATTGAACTCAGATAAATAGAGAGTAAAATGATGGTTACTAAGGGTTGGAGCTATGACAAGATGTTGTTCAAGGGGTACAAAGTTTTGGTTATATAAGAGAACTAAGTTCTGAAGATCTAAAGTTCAACAATGTGACTATAGTTAACAATATTGTATCATAGACTTGAAATTTGCTAAGGGGGTTAGATCTTTAAGGCAACTATGTGAGGTGATGGATACGTTAATTAGCTTGATTATGGTGAATATTTCAGTGTTTACATATATCAAATCATCATGTTATATATCTTAAATATATACAACTTGTCAACTATATCTAAATAAACTTGGGAAAAACTCATGCTCTACCATATCTGTGAAAAAATGGTATGCTTGACTGTTGATCAATGTTTGATATCCTTTTACAAACAAATAATGTTTAATATATTCATAATTGATTTCCTAGAACTTCAAAGCATTTGACTTTAATTTTTTTTTTATTTCAGCATATTATGGGGGTATAAATTTTAAGGTTTCAATAAATGCCCTTTCCCCCCTCCCCCCACAAGTCTGAGTTTCCAGTATGACCATCCCCCAGATGGTGCACATCTCACTCATTATGTATGTACATAGCCACCCCCTCCCATCTCCCACCTGCCCAATACCCTATTACTGTAGTACCTATGTGTCCACTTAGGTGCTGCTCAGTGACTTTAATTTCTAATAGATGTATTATTTAAAACAAAATCTTCCAAATTAAATTAAATACCACTTGAATCTCAGAATAAGAGGGCTGGAAAGGATTATGAGTCTTCGCATATTTTTTAATCCAGCTGGGTGTTGTATTTTAGTCATAAAGAAGGGAAAAGTTGTTCTGAGCACTTAGCCTTGGGATTGGGGCATGAAAGCCCTCATTTTAGGGAAAAGAAATGGGGAAAATTAAGATTAAGCATTAATAGTATTTCTTAAAATACTGCTCAATTAGAAAACTATAAAGACAATAAGAAAGAACATACCAAATTAAAGAAGTGACATATAAGATCAATATTTTATCTCTCTACATATGTTAGGTGCTTTATTTATGATAAAAGCAGAGGCCTCAGATAAGAAATCCTTATTTGATGTGAGTTTTATGTTGGAAGGGGCCTTAAGGCAATCCTAATCTCTGGTATAGCAGAGGAAAATCTCACAGCTATTACATAGCTGAATCAAAACAATACAAAACACTTGGTCACTCTGTTTTGTGAATGGTAGGTTTATCAGGTTAACATGATTATTAAAAATAAGATAGGCTAAATGTGTTGGCTTCAGTTAGACAAAGACAAAAAATTAAATGGTAAACTATTACTGTGGTTTGAATAAAATAATCATTTAACTACTAAATACCCACCCTTCAAAACTGAACACAGGGTAATTAAAGACCAAGAGTGCTACTGAGAATAAATGTTTCTAAACATTTGAAAGTAATAAAAGAACTATTATGACCTATTGAAAAACATCCCCTGATGTCCCTGTTAGATAGAATATGACTGAATTGTTCTGTTCAACATAGCATTTCTTATTTCATAATCTTCTAGGAAAGTACTTGTAAGTAGTAAGGAGTCTTGCTCTTAGCTGATGAATTGAATAAGACCAAATTAAAAGTAACTTATTGTCAACAATGTAAAAACTCTCCATTTTTAAAGGTGCTCAAATAAATCATGCTTTTTTAGATTTTACTTTTTTCCCCTAACTTACCTTTAAAATTGTGTTGACATTCAACAGTCTGTTGTAGCCCTTTTATCATACTATGAAGAGTAGCACATTCTAAAACATAAGAGATAAATTTATTTGAAAATTCCTTGATTTCATTTTGAAATTATTCTCTTGGTTGAAATAATTAAAATAATGTTTAATTGACAATTATGAGATCTTAACAAAGCAACCAGGCATTTCAAAGTAAATCATATAACAAATAATTTTTAATCACCCTTTAAGTCCAGTGAATTTCAAAACTTAGTAATGAGTTTTCTAAAGCACAGTATGGTCAAGATCTTACCATTTGCCTTAGCAATGTCTGCCCCAGAAGTGAGGCATACGTGGACATGTCTGGGGAACTCTGAGGAGTGTGTCCATGCAAATATTCCATGAAAGAGAGGCAAATTATATTCAGTTTTATTTAAAGATAGAGGGCCACAGCTGGTGAGAAGGTATAATACAATGTTTTTCTTACTGTTCTCCAACCTGACCTCTTAGTACTTGTGCTTGAGTCTTAGGGCAAGAGATTAGCAACAAAAGGAGTAAAAACTCAATGATTAGTGTTCCAAGGCATCAGCAACTTTTATGCAAACAGCTTTGACAACATATTATAATAAGAGATAGAACCTTCACTGCAAATGTTAGAGCTCTGATATGTGCAATCAAGCCTTGATTATGCTATTGGTTACCTACCACGAGCCACAGTGGTGGAATCTTTTGTGACTTTCACAGTCAGTCCACTTGTTTATAAGCTCTATAACAGCAGGGTCTATTTTTGTTTTGCTTACCATTTTTCCCTAGTATTTAGAACAGTTGTGGTCCATAGCAGGCAATCCATGAATATTTGTTGAGTGACTGATGGATAGATAGGTAATATCATAGTAAACTGGAGCAGAAAAGGGGTAAGTGGAGAAGCACCTGGCCTAAAAATAACATATATTTTATTGACTGAATGAAAGAATCAGTACTGTGAAGGGAGAAGGTAAAACTTTTCACCTTTCAATTAGAGGATCTGCACTCAGTCTTATGTACTTTCTTCAACTATGCTGATAGAAATGAGAGTATTTTGCAGAAGTTAAAAGTTTTATGAAGATAGAGGGTTCTACCATATGGCTCTTAACTCCTCCTTACCTTCCCTAACATCCTCACCATCCAGTCAGGTAACTTCCCATCATCCTCCACTTTTTCTAACTTATTATTTCCTGTAATAAAACTATGATTAAAGTACATTTAGAGACATTAGCTGAGAACCTGCTTCATGTATGTTATTGTGCTAGCTGTTATAATTAGAAAATTAAAGACTCTGCCATCACTTATATTTATGTCTTTTAAAGTAATGAATCCAGCAATTCGCAAAATAGGGCTGCTGAAGTTACCTTAGTAATCAGCAAATTGAAAACAGAGCCCTGTAACTGAAAGTATATTAGATGTTTCAAAAATGTTATTTTTAAAATGTGAACACAAGGTGGCTCTCTCAACACATTTTTTTCCACAATGGACCCTTGTTTGATTAAAAAATTCTTCATAAGGTAGAGTAGCATTCATTTTTTGAGAATGATAGCTTTTAATTTTCTTTGCAAACCATAACCAACGTTATTTTTTCTATTGTACTTTATACTATGTAATTTAAAGAGTACTGTCCTATTAAGTTCTTCCTAAAACCCAGAGTTCAAAATATTACGCCATTTTTTACATACTATGTAATTTAGTAAACCAACATCATTTTGAGCTCAAATTTAGGTTCTAATGTTAACTAACAAATATGAATATTCAGATCTATTTAATACAGTAGTTGGAAATATTAAATGCAATTATGAATGTAAAGAATTTTCTACAGTACTTGATCCTTAATATTAATATTATTACCATATTGAATTGGCAAGGAAATTCTTTATCTAGTATCAAATATAAAAAATAAAATGTCCAGATATTGTACTTTATTTTTGAATAAATTCAATCATGTGTACTTTGCCCTTCCTCCATAAGTGAATCAGTATACACTTGGCTCTATAAGTTGTCATCTTCACTTGTTCTTTTACTTCTGCTAAATATTATCCAGCAAAAAGGACATTAGATTTAGAATAAGTAGAATTTGATTTTTTTAAACCTATTTATTTTTTAAAATAACATAAATGATACATAAGTGTAGTGAAAAGCTGATTTCACTCCAGTCTCTGTTCCCAAACTAACTAGTTTCTGTCTCCCCAAGGCAGGCACTCTCACCAGGAGACTGTGTATATACTGCCAGAGATATACAAATATATAGGAGAGAAGCTGTTTTTGTTTGTGTAAAGATATAATTTTGTAAAAATGATAGCACACTATTCTGCACATTACTGTTTTCATGTACTATATCTCAGATATCATTCTATGTTACATAAAACTACTTCATTCTTATCAGCTGCACAGTATTTTATTAGATGAATATACCATAATTTATCTAACTAGATCTCTACTGACAGTTTGTATTCTTTTTATCTTTTATAAACAATGTAGCAATAAATATATCCATCATTTTGCATATATAAAAGTGTATCTTTAGGACATACTCCTAGAAGTGTAACAGCGAGGTGAAAGGACATGTGAATTTTCGGTTTTGATAGATATTGCCAATGTATTTTCCACAGAGGTTTTAATGTCTAACTAGCAATATATGAGAATGACTGTTTCTTTACTTCTTTGCTAATAAAATATTATAGTTCTTGATCATTTTCCACCTGTAAAAATGGTATTTCATATAGAATTTTTAAATTATGAGAGTTCAAACCTCTTTTCTTATGTTTACAAGTTATTTGATTTTTATTTTCTATGACCTACTGGATTATGTCCTTTGCTATTTTGCTGTTCCACTTGGTTTACATCTATTTTCTTTAAACCACGAAGAGTTTTTTCTTAATTATTTTCAGAATATTATGGGGGTACAAATGTTTAGGTTACATATATTGCCTTTGCCCTGCCTGAGTCAGAGTTACAAGTATGTCCATCCCCCAAATGGTGTGCACCACACCCATTAGGTGTGAATATACCTATCCCCTCCTCCCCCTCCCACCTGCCCAACATTTGATGAATGTTACTACTATATGTGCACATAATGTTGATCATTTAATACCAATTTGATGAGTGAGTACATGTGGAACTTGTTTTTCCATTTTTGTGATACTTCACTTAGTAGAATGGGCTCCAGCTCTATCCAGGATAATACAAGAGGTGCTAGATCACCACTGTGTTTTGTGGCTGAGTAGAACTCCATGGTATACATATACCACATTTTTATTAATCTACTCATGTGTTGATGGGCAGTTGGTTTGTTTTCACATCTTTGCAATGGTGAATTTTGTGGCTATAAACATTCTAGTGCAGATGTCTTTTTTTAATTCTTTTGGGTAGATACCCAGTAATGAGATTGCTGGGTCAAATGGTAGTTCTACTTTTAGCTTTTTGAGGTATCTCCATATTACTTTCCACTAGTTTGCAGTACCACCAGCAGTGTATGAGTGTTCCTATCTCTCCGCATCCATGCCAACATTTGTTGTTTTGGGAATTTTTGATAAAAGCCATTCTCACTGGAGTTAAGTGATATCTCATTGTGGTTTTGATTTGTATTTCCTTGATGATTACAAATGTTGAGCATTTTTTTTCATCTGTTTATTAGTCATTAATCTGTCTTCTTTTGAAAAGTTTCTGTTCATGTCCTTTGCCCACTTTTTAATGGGGTTATTTGATTTTTCCTTGCTGATTTTCCCGAGTTCTATATAGATTCTAGCTATCAGTTCTTTATCGGATGTGTAGCATGAGACTATTTTCTCCCGTTCTGTAAGTTGTCTGTTTGCTCTCATGATAGTTTCCTTGGTTGTGCAGAAGCTTTCTAATTTGATCAGGTCCCACTTACTTATTTTTGTTGCTGTGATTGCCTTTGGGGTCTTCTTCATAAATTCTTTACCTAGGCCAAATGTCTATAAGAGTTTTCAAACATTTTCTTCTAGAATTCTTATAGTTTCCTGCCTTAGGTTTAAGTCTGTTATACACAGTACATTGATTTTTGTGAGAGGTAAGAGGTGTGGATCCTGTTTCAGTCTTCTACATGTGGCTATCAAATTTTCCCAGCATCATTTATTGAATACACTTCCTCCAGTTCATGTTTTTGTCTGCTTTGTCAAAGATCAGATGGCTATGTGAGGATGGTTTTATTTGTGGGTTCTCTGTTCTGTTCCATTGGTTTATTTCTCTGTTCTTATGCCAATAACATGCTGTTTTAATTACTATAGTCTTGTGGTATAGCTTGAAGTCTGGTAAATTGATGTCTCCCAATTTGTTCTTTTTGCTTAACATAGCTGTTACTACACAGGGTCTTCTCTGTTTCTATATGAAGCATAGAATTATTTTTTCTAGATCTGCAAAAAATGATGTTGGTATTTTAATAGGGATTGCATTGAATCTATAGATCACTTTGGGCAATATAGACGTTTTAACAATGTAGATTCTGCTCACCCATGAGCATGGTATGGTCTTCCAGCTGTTTACATGCTCTGCTAAAACTTCCTCAGTGTTTCGTAATTTTCCCTATAGAGGTCTTTCAATTCCTTAGTTAAATAGATTCCCATGTATTTTATTTTCTTTGTTGCTACTGTGAAGGGTATTGAGTCTTTGATTTGGTTCTCAGTTTGACTGCTGTTGGTGTATAGGAATGTTACTGATTTCTGTACATTGATTTTGTAACCTGAGATTTGCTGAATTTATTAATTCCAGTAGTCTCATGGTAGAATCTTTGGGGTTTTCTAGATATAAGACCATATCATCAGCAAAAAGCGATAGTTTGACCTCTTCTGCCCCCATTTCAACGTCCTCAATTTCCTTCTCTTGTTTGATTGCTCTAGCAAGGACTTCCAGCACTATGTGGAATAGAAGTGGTGATAGAGGGCAACCTTCTCTGGTTCCAGTTCTAAGCAGGAATGCTTTCAATTTTTCCCCGTTCAGTATGATGTTGGCTGTGGGTTTGTCATATATAGCTTTAATCATTTTTATGTAAGGCCCGTCTATGCCTATTTTGTTAAGTGTTCTTATCATAAAAGGGTGCTGTACTTTGTCGAATGCTTTTTCTGTGTCTGCTGAGAGGATCAAATGTTCTGTGTTTTTACTTCTATTTATGTGGTGAATTATATTTATATATTTGCATATGTTGAACCATTCCTGAATCTCTGGGATGAAGCTGACTTGATCACATGTATTATTTTTTTTGATAAGCACCTGAATTTGGTTTTCTAGGATTTTATTGAGAATTTTTGCATCTATATTCACAAGGAATACTGGTCTATAGCTGTCTTTTTTTGTTGCATCCTTTCCTGATTTTGGTATCAGAGTGATGTTGGCTACATAAAATGTGTTGGAGAGGATTCCTTTCTTTTTGATGTTATGGAATAATTTCTGCAGGATAGGCACCAGTTCTTGTAGGTCTGGTAAAATTTGGGTGTGAAACCATCTGGTCTGGGACTTTTTTTTAGGAAGGTTTTGTATTGCTGCTTCAATTTAGATACTTGATATTAGTCTGTTCAGGAATTCTATTTCTTCCTGATTGATCCTGTGTGTTTCTAAGAATTTGTCCATTTCCTCCATGTTTTCAAGTTCCATCATTAAAAGTCAAATATCCTTAAGAGAATGAAAAGACACACCATAGACTAGAAGTAAATGTTTACAAAACATATCAGATAATGGACTTGTATCTAAAACATACAAGAAATCTTAAAAGTCAATCATAAGAAAATAAACAACCCAATTAAAAAATCGGCAAAATATGTGAACTGACATCTCACTAAAGAAGATATACAGATAGCAAATAAGCATATGACAAGATGTTTAATATCATATGTCATTAGGGAATTGAAAATTAAAACAACAGTATGATACTGTGACACACCAATTAGAATGGCCAAAATCCAAAACACTGACACAACCAAGTGCTGGTGAGGATGTGGAGCAACAGAAATTCTCATTCATAGTTGGTGGAAACACAAAATGATACAGACACTTTGGAAGACAGTTTGGCAGTTTCTTACAAAGCTACATTCACTCTTACCATATGATCCAACAATTGGGCTTCTTGAAATTTACCCAAATGAGTTGAAACTTATGTTTGTGTAATGTATACACAAAAATGTATACATTAATGTTCATAGCAGTTTTGTTCATAATAGCCCAAATTTAGATTTAACCAAGGTGTTCTTTAATAGGTAAATGGATAAACAAACTATAGTATACCCATACAAAAATACAGTAAAAAACAAAACTAGATGGATGATGAGAGGTTGCTTCATATAGGTATAATATGCATTGCTTCAGTGATGTATGCACTGAAGGCCCTGACTTCACCACAATTCAATATATCAGTGTTGGAAAAGTGTACCCTATGAATATATACAAATAAAAAATAAATAGAAAGAAAGAATACAATAAAAAGAATGTGCTATTAAGCCACAAAAAGACGAAAGAAACTTAAATGCATATTGCTAAATGAAAGAAGTAAATCTAAAAAGGGTATATACTATATGATTCCAACTATATGATAATCCAGAAAAGGTCAAACTATAGAAACAGTAAAAAGATCAGTGGTTACCAGGGGGCCAGAAGAAAAAAGGGAAGGAAAGATGAATAAGTACTGAGGATTATTTAGGGCAGTGATACTGCCATTCAGTATGATATTGCAATGACACGTCATTACACATTTGTCAAATCCCATAGAATATACAACACAAAAGATGAACACTAATGTAAACTATAGACTTTAGTTAATAATAATATATCGATTATCTCATTAATTGTAACAATAATGCAAGATATTAAAAATAGGCAAATTGTAGGGGAAGAAAGAGTATATGAAAACTCTGTACTTTCAATTTTTTTCTGTAAACATAAAACTGCTTCAAAAGATGTCTATTAAATTTGTAAAAACTCAAACATGCAAATTCTTTCTTTTATCACTTCTACATATTATGTCACATATTTAAAAAGTCCTTCTCTGATATAAAAATAAAAAGCTATATTCTCTTCTAGTTTTTTTGTAGTTTTATCTTTGACCTTTAATAAACTATTTTTAAGCATAGCTTTAGATGTACAGAAAAATTGGGAAGATATTACAGACTTTTGGCATATATCCTGTATTTAGTTACCTCTATTATTAATATCTTACATTAGTGCAGCACATTTGTTGTAATTAATGAACCAATGTTGATTCATTAGTATTAATTAAAATCTATACCTTATTCAGATTTCTTTAGTTTTTACCCAATGTCCTTTTCTGTCCTAGAATCCCATCCACCATACACATTATGTTTATTTATCATGTCTTCATAGGCTCCTCTTGGCTGTGATAGTTTCTCAGAGTTTCTTTATTTTTGATGACCTTGATAGTTTTGACAAGTACTGATCAGGTATTTTGTAATGTCCCTATATGGGAATTTTTCTGATGTTTATCACATTATTAGACTCGGGTTATGAGTTTTTGGAGGAAGATCACAGAAGTAAAGTGCTATTTTTATCATATTATATCAAGAGTATATACTATCAACATGATATCACTTTTGATGTTGACTTTGACCATGTGGCTGGGGTAATATTTGTCAGGTTTCTCCACTTTGTAGTTACTTTTCCTCCAGCTCCACCCTTTCCAAACTGTATTCTTCACTATAGTGAAGAAAGTCACCAAACTGAGCCCATATTTAATGAGTGTGAAGACATGCTCTTTCTCCTTCAGGGCAATTACCTACATAAGTTATTTGGAATTCTTCTGCATAGAAGATTTGTCCCTTCTTCCGCAATTATTTATTTATTAAATCATTTCTTTATATCAGTATATTTATTTTATACTTTGGGTTATAATCCAACACTTCTTTATTTTCTTGCTCAAATTGTTCCAGCTTTGGCCCTTGAGAGCTCTTTCAGTTGGTTCCTGTGTCCCTTTTGACATACTCCCATCACTGTGGGATATTCTTTATTTTTTTTTTTTTGAGTACTTTCTTACTTTCTAGCACAAGACACTTTATGCTTATCTTATATATTTCTTACCCCAGTCCTAGAATCAGCCATTTCTCCAAAGAATCCTGGTTCCTTTTATTAGAGAATGGTCTTAGAAACCAAGATCTATTCCAGACATTAAATATGCTCATTACTACTGAGGTATTGTTGCTTCTAAGCTCTCTCAGTTGACAGAGCAAGAAAATATATGTGTATGGCTTCATTTTTAACACTAAAATTTCTGAACTATCTGACATTTATTTTGATGTAATTGTGAAATAGGAATTCAACTTTATTTTTTTCCCATAGTTTTTATTGTATTGAGCCTCTGATTTGCCATTTCTTAGCTGAGTAGAGTCAGACAGATTATTTGACTTCTTTTAATCTATGTTTCTTCATTAGTGAAGTAGAGTATAATACCTGTCCTATCTATCATAATAAGGATAAAATGAAATGATTATCTGGAAAAGTCTACGTGGATTTAAAACACATTACAAATGTATGGTGTAATATTAATCACTCTTACACTCAAAAGTACTCTCATTAGAATTAGTATTTCTTCAGGCAGCAAAGAACTAACCTTCTTTCATTGAGACCTCCTTTGTTTGCATTACTTTTAATAAACTGTTAGCCTTTTCCAATTGAATATCTAGTATATTGTTCTTTCCACTGGTTTCTATCATTTTCTGTAGAAGAAATAGAATACAAATGATTACAAAATCAATGCTGCTATTTTGATTCTTTTAGTAAGGATATGAATACTAATGAAAATATAAACCACTTAATACTTGATACTCTAATAATTAAATCTGGCATATATAGTTATGTACCACATAATGACATTTCAGTCAAGGACAGACTGACATACTACAGTGGTCCCATAAGATTATAATGTAGCTGCCCAATCAGGTGTACCATTTATCATCTTTTTTTTTTTTTTTTGAGACAGAGTCTCGCTTTGTTGCCCAGGCTAGAGTGAGTGCCGTGGCGTCAGCCTAGCTCACAGCAACCTCAAACTCCTGGGCTCAAGCAATCCTTCTGCCTCAGCTTCCCGAGTAGCTGGGACTACAGGCATGCACCACATGCCCAGCTAATTTTCTATATATATTAGTTGGCCAATTAATTTCTTTCTATTTTTAGTAGAGACGGGGTCTCGCTCTTGCTCAGGCTGGTTTCGAACTCCTGACCTCGAGCAATCCGCCCGCCTCAGCCTCCCAGAGTGCTAGGATTACAGGCGTGAGCCACCGTGCCCGGCATTTATCATCTTTTATACTGTATTTTTACTGTACCTTTTTAATGTTTAAATATGTTTAGATACATAAATACTTACCATTGTGTTACAGTTGCCTACAGTATTCAGCACAGTAACATATTGTATAGGTTTGTTTAGCCTAAGAGCAGTAGGCCATACCATATAGCCCAGGCACGTAGTAAGCTAACCATCTAGGTTTGTGTATAATCTATGACATTTGCACAACAATAAAATTGCCTAATGATCCATTTCTTAGAATATAACCCCATTGTTGAGTGATGCATGACTGTAGTTTTAAATAAGCCCATTTCTCAATTTATTTTTAATTTTAAAAGTAATATGGTAAAATATTAAAACAGACTAATAGTTATTGATGAAAAGTAAAACCTTACTTGAACCCCTTTCTTTCCAATTTTTGAATCATCAGCCCCATGGTTAAAAATTCCTTATATATGTTTCTAAAATATTTTATGAGTATACAGTTATAGAAAAGAATCACATTATATTCTGTTCTGCATCTCGGCTGTTCCAATTAGCATTATTATGTGGGAGATGATGTCATGTAAACATATATAGACGTACTTCGTTCTTTTTAATAACTGCATCGAATTTCATTTTTGAAGGCACTGTATTCATTTTGAATATATTGTAATTTATTTAACTAGTCTCCTACTGAGGAGAATTTGTATTGTTTCTACTTTTTAGCTATTACAGATAATAAACAAACATTCTTGAACATATGTCTTTGGTATCTTTGTGAATAGTATCATAAGCCTCCATGTATTCTTCAAACAGCTTCAAAAATCATCAATTCATGAACAATCTTATGTCATCTATATCTTGACCCACCTCCCTAGTCTGACCACTTCTGAATTTATCTCAGAGCAACTCCTTGGTATTATATTATTTTATCTGTAAATATTGCCATCCATATGTATCTCTAAGAGGTAAGACTCTTTTGAAATATGATCACAGTGTCATTAACACATCAAAAAATGAACAATTATTTCTTATTTAGAATTTTAAGAATATGATAAATATTTCCAAATTAATCTCTAAAAACATTGCACTAATTCCTTTCCCACCAACAGTGCTTTTTATCTTTCTCTTTTCTCTCTTATTATGTTAAGAATCACTTGTTTAAGAAAACTCAAGTTCATTGTTTAAAAAAAAGCTCATAAAATTACTTCAAAACACCCATCACCATGAAAACTTTTTCATTATGGCATTTTTGGTGTGTGTGCTTAGAAAAAGAAGGAATGAAAAGAATGAGGAGAAAGAGAGAGAAAACAGGAGTAAGCATTACTCCCCTCCCATACCTGCTTCACAAACTCACTCTCCAAATCTTTAATTTATCTTCCTACATGTTTTCAGCAGCCATTTCTACTCCTTTCCATGGCAGAGGAGGGGGAAAACCCAATATACACTTGTGGGTTTGGTCTACCATTTGTCCAGAGTACAGGAGAGGGACTTTAAATCGGTTTGCTTTTAGGCAAAAGAGAAGGGAAAGGGAACAGATGGAATAGGAAAGACTAAAAAAAAAAGTAGTCAGTCATAATGATAAGAGATTGATGGATGTGTCTACATCAATTCTTACTAAAATTATTTCTGAGTTTATGGACATCCTGGGCATTTAAGTATAGTAGTTTCCCTTATCTGCAGGGGATATGTTCCAAGACCCTTTGTGGATGCCTGATACATATTATGTTTTTTCCTATACATACAAACTATGATGAAGTTTAATTTATAAACTAGGCACAGTAAGAGATTAACAACAATAACTAGTAAAAAAAATAGAACAATTATAATAACATACTGTAATAAAGTTACATGAATGTGGTGTTTCTTTCTCTCTGTCTTGCAAAATATCTTACTCTACTGTACTCACCCTTCTGGTAACCAAGACAGCTACTAAGTGACTAACAAGCGAGTAGCATATACAGCCTGGAGATGCTGGACAAAAGAGATGATTCACATCCTAAGCAGGACGGAGTGGGATGGTGTAAGATTTCATCATGCTACTCAGAATGATGCACAATTTAAAACTTATGAATTGCTTATTTCTGGAATTTTCCATTTAATATTTTTGGACTGCTGTTGACCTTGGGTAACTAAAACTGCAGAAAGCAAAACCTTGGATAAACAAGGGGGACTCCCATATATATTTTCTCTTTAACTTTGGCAAAAGTACATCAATTACTTATTCCCCTATCCTGGAAACATGAGTCAAAGCCAGATATATTTTAAATACATATTTTTAAGCTGATAGAGAAAGAGCTTAGCAAAACATACTGTCATTATCTTTACATTGCTCATTTTTTTGGTAGAATTTTCTTTCTTCCCAACTTTTTCCACTGGCAAAATCTGTTAATTTTTTCCTTATTTACTAGAATCAGTTGCTATCTTTACATACCTTTTCTATTTGTGAGAAGTCACTTATAAGTTTGTCAAGATTTACACTGCTAATCTTTTTCATATATCCCTCACTGCTTTGATCCATTCCTGAAACTAGTGAAGAGCAGAATTAAAAATAAATGAATGAATGAATGAATGAATAAATAAATAAAATCTAAAGCATCACAATAGTTATAATTCAAACACTAAAATTTCTGTATTCTACTCATAGAGCATCTACTTGAAGTTCATTGCATTCAGAGAATTTGTTATATCCATATTAAAAATGGTAAAATGAATCAAGTCTTCCTTATTCTTTACCACTCCCACCCAGTCAATTTGTTTATATTTGTTTTCCTAAACAAATCTAAAATTAGTGCAACGATATGTACATATATAGAAATTATTTGTTCTTATCATACAATAAAATGAATAATGCCACTGCCAACATTCCATCCCTTTGCCATCAGTATGGCTAGACCTAAAATCTTATGCATTATTAAATCTGGAGCATGATTTTTATATGTATATATTCCTAATTTAAGTTGTTAAAAATATTTGTTTAACTATTGTGCCACGAATATTTTCTGTTAGTATGCATATATTTTATATTTTGTTTGTAACCTGTTTGGTAAATAGAGGACATATAGAAATTAATGTTCTTAAAGTGATCTCTCTAGATTTCCGGTTTCTTGTAATTTTGTGTAAGATTGACCTTTGGGAATAGCCAGTAACTGTTGAAGGGAAGAATAAGAGTTTTAGTTTTAGTCCTATGAAACTAATCATAAGAAATTCTTCAGAATCCCAGACGTAAACTCATTCAGTCAAGATGGATAAATTGACTTTTGCCAAATGTCTCCAGTATTTACGTTTGTGGGTGAGGGGTTATCTAAGGAATTAATACAATCTGAAAGTATGAGACAGTTGTGTTTAGATTTTTTCTCTAGCAAAGGGGAAGGGGAAAATACAAATTTGAAATTCAGTCCTTTTAGATTGAGGAAAGAGAATGAGCCAATGTATGGTGTAGGAAAGTGGCAAATCTTCCAGAGTAAAATGTAAATAAAATTTCTGAAGTAACTGCTCAAAGCAATCTGGGGCATATTATTATTAAAAAGAAGTACATCAAAACAGACATTGTCTGACAATATGTTACTGCATCAAGAAATCACATTTTCTTTTTCTTTTTTGTATTATTTTTGCATTAACAACTATTAACAGCTTTTAAATGTAAGAATTTTAGCTATATATTTTCAGTTTATTGAATTTTATCTTCTATATCATATATGCAAGTAAAACTATATATATAAATAAATCCCTTAAACAGTTAAAACTTGATCCTTAGAGAAAAAAAATTTTTTTTTTTTTTTTTGAGACTGTCACCCTTGGTGGAGTGTAGCAGCGGCAGCATAGCCCACTGCAACCTCAAACTCCTGAGCTCAAGGGATCCTCTTGCTTCAGCCTCCCAAGTAGCTGGGACTACTGGCGCAGGCCATGATGCCTGCCCAGCTAATTTTTCTGTGTTTAGTAGAGAGGGGGTCTCACTCTTGCTCAGGTTGGTCTCCAACTCCTAAGCTCAAGCAATCCTCCTGCCTCAGCCTCCCAGAGTCCTAGGATTACAGGCGTGAGCCACTGCGCTGGGCTAAAAAAATAAAAAAATTGTAATAGCCTCTCATGATAAATATAGTAAAATTCCGTTTGGGGTAAAATTAAAAATCATTGCTATTTGATATCACTATTATTCTTTAATAGACCTGCCTGTAGAGTAATCTCAAGTAGTTAGTTCAAAATCCCTCTACCTCCAATATTTTCTCTTTTTTAGAACCTAAAACTTTAAATAAAAACGTTTTTACTAGGGTTTTGTCTCAGAATCTGGCTCTTGAACTAAATGCATTTTAATCCGAGCTTTGTTTTCTCCCAACTCCTTCTCCGTGATAAGATCCTTGGGCTGTTTTCCCTTATAAAACCATCCCTAATATTCCACCTGCTGTCATTGCATGCTATCCCTTTTGTCATACTGGCCAAGCCAGCCAATTCGTTTCTAGATGTCTTCATTGCCTTCTCCTCCAATTTCCCAGGTCAAAATCCTTTCAGTGGATATGGTCTTCTTGCTAGGTGAAATTAGATGGCAAGCTGGTGATTCAGCACTTGTCATATTCTTCTTTTTTTACTTGTCATATTCTTTAGTGAGCTGCAGAGACTGACTTGTGACCTTCGAGGCCCAGATTCAGCCATCCCACAAGCGAATGACAACCTCATTTCCTTCTTTGTCTTCCTGCCTGCTGGATTGAGTACCAGGACTCACTGTCTCCCCGCTTCGTCATTCAGGCCCTGTCTGCTAGTGCGCCCCAGGCTCGGGTCACCTTCTCTACTACCCCCCTCATGGCCCTTCACGAATTCACTTTCAGTCCTCAATACTGGGGCTCATGGCTCCCGGCTCCCTATGCCTTAAGGACCAAACTGAAATGTAGGGTGTGGGCCGCGGACCGGCAGGCGAGAGCAGTGGCTGAGACAAAACTCTGCACCTACCTAAGGACGCTGTAAAGAACTACCACGAAAAGAATCTTCACAGGAAAAGCGGGAATTTCGAACCGTCGATAGAGTTTGAAGCGTACCTGCTGTTCCTCCGGGGTTCCCGGTCTCCCTAGCTGCCGCCTCCGTGTGGCTGGTCCGCCCCCGAGTGCTGTCCGGCCCCCTGGGAAGTAGGTTCCTCCAACAATGGGTCCGCTCTTCTCTGGCACCCATGTGCCCTGTCCTTGCGCTACCACCACCAGCCGTCCTACCAACTTGGCCCTCAGGATCCTCAGGATCTATGCTTCTTAGGTATTTTCATGTGGTTTCTAGAACATGAATCAACACCAGATCAATAATTGTTTCCCCAACCAGAGAATAAATCACATTGGTTAAATTTTGATTTGTGAGTCAGCACAATTGAATAAATAATAATCCATATTTATTCTTGTAACTTATACAGTAGGCTTTGAGTCAGTGAATAGATACGGTTCCCATCTACAGAATTTTGTCTAGGTAGCTTAGTGATTAAGGGCATAGACTCTTGTGTATCAGATTCAAGCCCCAGCTCTTCTATTTATCAATGGATGATCTTGGGCAAGTTCTTACTTAGTATATGTGCCTCAACTTCTCTATCTGTGTAACAGACATTAATAAAAATGCCTACCCCATAGGGCTGTTGTGATGATTGAATGAAATGATGCATTTAGAAGGTGCTTAATGGAGCTCCTTGCTTAAAGTAAGTGTTCAAAAATGTTAATTATTATAATTTTTAAATGTAGTTCAGTAACAGTTTGAAAGTGTAATCCACTGCCAACTTTGCCTCATCTTTTTTTTTTATTTATAGTGGGAGATGAGAGGTTTATTTTTATCAAATTGATTTTTCTATGGAAGCCAAAATTTGGCAAGCAGAAAAATGTAAACAGTAATATGATAACCCATATTTTATTAGTTGAAAGGTGATATAACATACTGGCAAGAGAGTATAATTGAAGCATGGGGTGTAGTCCTCACTCTGCTGCTCAAATAAGCTTTCCTTGACATTAGTAACAAATATTGTAAATGGCCTGCTGAATTGCTGGTTATATCCAATTAGCATATATAAAATGTTTCATGTGACTCATGTCATAATAGGTTTTGAAATTAGCCAATTTTAAGATCCATCTAAAATGCTACCATCTCAATAAATCATTCATTGATCATATCAATCTGCAGTGACTTACCTTTCCTTACTCTATGGAACATGCTGGCTTTCTTGTGGCATTTGTTAGGATTGTTTGAATTGATGTATTATCTCTCCTGCTGTATTTATTATTGCCTTCTTGGTAGAAGAAACTCTATTTTCTTTATATATATCCATAGAGCCTATCATAGGTAGAGAAAATAGAAATGAACCAACATACCAGAAACAAATTAGGAAAGTTTAGCTTGACTTTTCTAGTTTGGAATGAGTCACAAGGTTCTCTTCTAGTTCATAGATGTTAGCATTTTTTTTTTTTTTTTTTTTTTTTTTTGAGACAGAGTCTCACTTTGTTGCCCTGGCTAGAGTGAGTGCTGCGTCACCAACTTAGCTCACAGCAACCTCCAACTCCTGGGCTCAAGCAATCCTTCTGCTTCAACCTCCCAAGTAGCTGGGACTACAGGCATGTGCCACCATGCCTGGCTAATTTTTTCTATATATATTAGTTGGCCAATTAATTTCTTTCTATTTATAGTAGAGATGGGGTCTCGCTCTTGCTCAGGCTGGTTTCGAACTCCTGACCTCGAGCAATCCACCTGTCTCAGCCTCCCAGAGAGCTAGGATTATAGGTGTGAGCCACTGGGCCCGGCCTAGCATTTCTTTTTTTCAAGGAATGGGTTCATAATATGTCTCTCAATGAGAAATTACATGAGCTTCCCATGATTTCATCTTTAAAAAGGGAATATCTTTCATAATTGTATTCATTTTTATTCCTCAAATACTATCCAATTAAGAAACAGAATTCATCAAATATTTGCTCAGAAAATATCATTTTATGATTGATCAAAGATTCACTGAATATGTATTCAGAAACTGCCTGGAAAGCCATAAGAGAGAAACAAATTACATTATTATGCCATAAAAACAAAGAAATATTGGAATCCATTAAAAATGCCCTGATTTGGAAGAAAAGCACACATGTACCTTAACAAATGAAAAAAATGAGAAGCTACAAATCTATGTATTAATATATAAAGATCTTAAGCAATGCACTGATTTTTTAAAATTTCAAACAATTTCATTTATTAATTCATTCTCAAATATTTATGTACTTGCAAAATACCAGCTACTGAAGATAAGACACTAAGGAGAGCAAGACAAATAAGATATTCTCTTTCTGCTTTGGTGCTTACTGAGAAACTAGCAGGGGATGGCAGTCTAGTATATGTTATTGGCAATAATGCTTTGGCATTAGAATCATTACCTCATTACTTTAGTTGCCATCATCAGTGTGTTATAACAACAAAATATGATGGTGTTGCACCCACATCACTGCAAATGTTTATAAATGGTTTAGGTAATCTATCAAGTCCTCTGGTCCAGCCTTATTAATTAACTCCCTCAATATCCTTACCTATCTTCAGGGTATGTTTTTTTTGTCTACTCAATCAAATTTGCCAATTCTTGAAATTCCAGTTCAATCTCATTTCCATAAATATTTAATTATAAAATGTTATAAATAGGGGAAAAATCTGTACAAGGTGAAATATAAATTAGAAGTAGAAGTAAAGACCAGGAGAGAATATAAAACACAAATACACTGGTCCATAGGTCTGGAAAGTTGTTATATTTCTGCCACAAGTTTGGCTTTGAATTTCCTACTGGCCAGAATGAAGAGGGATACAGGCTTGATTACTTAGTTTTCTTTGTGAAAGAGTAAAAAATATACAGGTTTCTCAGGAAGAACAGACTGTTCCCTAATTCTAACCTTTTAATTTATCACATCAAGATTCATATAGGAGGCACTGGATAATTTAATGAGCAATTTTCTCAATGTTAACCTGAGAGCAAAGGCAGAAATGAGCTTTGCAAGACACTTTCCTAAAAGTATCTCTGTTTAAAAGGCTAAAGTGGAATAGCAATGGCAATCATAATGAATCTTGGTCTAAACCCCTGCTTTTCAAAGTGTGGTCTCTGAACTAGTAACATTGGCATGCGAAATAAAATAAAATCATAAGCCTCCGCACCCCACCAAGCCGACTGAATGGACCTCCTCTTGGCCAAAGGGATACCCCCTGAAAAAAAACAACTCTAAAGCTGAGTTGCCAGCCATGGGTAGAAGAGAGGTCAGGCACACCTTGTCCCTTTTGGAGTTTTTTTGTAATGATAAGATACAAAATCATTAACAAGTCTAAGGCCATGTAAGACAAAGGTTAAACCACAACCTGCAGGTCATCAATTTACTTAACAGATCTTGAGTCTTGGTAGATATATATCCAGTTGCTTATCTCTAATTAACAGACTTCCTTAACTTAAAAAATTCCAAGCCTTTAGACAAAACTTCATTTCTCTAATCAATTGTTAATACAAATCAAAGAAACTTTAAATCTATCTATAACCTATAATCCCCTGCTTCGAGATATCCTGCCTTTTTGGGCCAAACCAAGATATGCCTTCCATGTATTGATTTATGACTGTATGTGTAATCCTTTTTTTCCCTAAAATGTATAAAAGAAAACTGTAACCCAACCATGGCAAGACCACTTGCTCAAGGCTTCTTGGGTGTGGCTCTCTGGGCCATGTTCACACCTATTTGGCTTAGAATAAACCTATTTAAATTATTTTACAGAGTTTTGGTTCTTTTCCATTGACAGGCATCTGCTTATAAAAATGCAGAATCTTAGAGTCTACCTCATAACTAATGAATTAGAATCTGCATTTTAACAACATTCCCAGGTGACTCACGTGCACATTAATGTTAAAAAAGCATTGTTCTTCTATGTACAAACCTTTTAGAGCTTTTTATTTACTTTATTCATCTTTTTAAGACTATCAGAATGTACCTATTTATTTATTTAAGAGATACTTAGTGAGTACCAACCATGTTCTGAGATCTGTGAGAACATTAGCAATAAAAAAAACAAACATGGTTTCCCTGGGCCCAGAGGGCTTATCCTTTAACAGAAAAATAGATAATAAACAAGTAAATTACCTATAAATAAAAATTGTAATAAGTGCAAAAAAAATGAAACAAATCCATGATCTTGATTTAAAAAGTGAGTGGGGCAAACATATAAAAAATGCTCAACATCTCTAAACATTAGAGAAATGCAAATCAAAACCACAATGAGATATCACCTAACCCCAGTAAGATTAGCCTGTATCAAGAAATCCCAAAACAACCAATGCTGGCGAGGATGTGGAGAGACAGGAACACTCTTACACTGCTGGTGGGACTGCAAATTATTGCATCCTCTGTGGAAAAGAATTTGGAGATACCTTGAAGAGCTAAAAATAGAAATACCATTTGACCCAGCAATAGCATTAGGCATCTACCCCAAAGAGCATACGACATTCTGTTATAAAGACATCTGCACCCGAATATTTATGGCGGCACAATTCACTATTGCAGGGGCATGGAAACAACCCAAGTGCCCGTCAATTCATAAGTGGATTATTAAAATTTGGTATATGTTTACAATGGAATATTACTGAATTCTAAGAAATGACAGTGAGCTAGCACCACTTATATTATCCTGGATTAAGCTTAAGCCCATTATCCAAAGCGAGGTGACACAAGATCAGAATAATGGGCTCCACATGTACTCGCCATCAAATTGGTACTGACTGATTAACACTATGGTGCTCAAATAGTAGTGGTGTTCAACAGGGATTTGGAGGTTGGTGGGGTAGACCCACATGTGAGGGATGTGGTGAGCATTGTGGAGGGGAAGGGCTTACCTCTAACCCTTGCTAGGGAGAGGCAAAGATATAAAATGTAACCAAAATGTCCGTACTTTTATATTTTCTTGAAAAAAACCCTGCGTACTATATCCCCCTCTTAAAGTGAATCTTAAAATGCTTTTGGACATACACTTCAGATCTCTGCCTTTTTGAAGCACATTAAAAAAAATTACTGGAAAAAAATAATAAAAATAAAAAGTGAGTGGGAATTCATTTAGATATAGTGGTCAGGGAAAGTCTCTGAGTTGGTAAGATGAAAGTGAGACCTGACTAGTACATCAAAAAGTTAGCTGTGGGCGACAGATAAATGCCAGGTTTACCTTTTTTTTTTTTTTTTTTTTTTACCTCTGCTTGCTCTCTTGATACACTTCTCCCCACTTTGGTCTCCTGCCTGATTCTCCTATTTCAATATCTGCTTCTGAACCATATTGTTTGGCTTCTACTGCAACTTCAAGTCCAGTTCTGCAGCCCCCAGACTTCAGCATTACTTGTAGTAATTAGGTAAAAGACACCTCATACATCAAGTCTATGACCCTGTGGAACTCTGTTGGCTATACTTACCACCATCCTTTTCCAAACGGAGAGAGAAATTTGAACATGATTCTAGAATAAGGCTTAAATCATGCAGTACTTGGATTACTTTTCTTAAAACAATCCTACATAGGTATGTAAACATTCCATCTCTTAATAGCCTTCTATTAAAAGTAGAATTATGTTGCTATCTGGGTAGAGTTTGTATTTCTGGTTGAAGACAGGAAGTGTAGACATTCTACTTAATTTATTATGTGGTAAAGGTGACATTTTTGTGATAATTAGGAAGTCTAACTTTCAATGGCCTGGTATGTGATAGCTACTTGGAGGTGGCTGTGGGTGTACTCTCAGGAGAAGTCAGACTTTTTCTCAAAATGCAATCTTAAGTTTGTTGAAGTATATAAACAAATGATTCATGATGGATTCAGTGTCATAAATTTGATGATTTGGGCCCCAAATATTCCATTGCTCCCAGAGAACATCAACTTTCTCATAACCTATTTTCTTAGTGATAACATTATTGGGGGTGACAGGGTGAATGGGTCTTTAGACATTTCTAGCTTCAGCATGTTAGCTCTGTCTCTACTAGCTGTGTGGTCCTAGGCAAGTCCACTTATCTCTTTGCCCCTCTGTTTCATCATTATAAAATAAGAACAAACCTGTGAACATTATGCTATGGATAAAATAGTGTATGCATTATATTAACATGGGTTGGCTCAGAGTAGGTCAGAAATAAGTATTTGTTGAATGAATGAAAGAATGAACCAATGTATAACATTAATTCCTATATTAGCCACATTATTGTGATATAATAAACCATTCAGTGGTTTGAAACCACCATTTATTTTGCTCATGAGACTTGAGGTCAGCCATTTAAACTGGACTCAGGTAGGCAATTTTTCTAGTCTTGGCTGGGTTCCTAATGCATCAGCGGTCAGCTGTGGGTCAGGTAA